AACACCAAATCGGTGAACGTTAATAGCTGTAAACTCCCCTGGATCCCAATTAGTAGCTGTCTTTCAGTGCTGCATCTGAGTATGGGATTCATGATGTAGGATGCCATGAATGAAATTAGGACTCATGCTGTAGAGCCTTAATGAAAGTTTCAACCTACGGTACTTTGATAAGACTCAAAAGGCACATAATTGACATTTATACATGGAAGATCCTTAATAGATTTGAAATAGATGCATTAGCTTTGATAAGCCCATCTTTATGTAATTTAAAAAGATAATATTTTTCATAGAATAAGCTAATAAGCTTTGTTTAGTACCGCTTTAACATATATTTGCTATATTTTGTGAATTTGCACAATTGAATATTGAATATTTTGTGAATTTGCTGAATTTAGTGAATTTTCTGCCAAAACATTGCATACAAAAAAAGCATGTTGCACACACACATAAAGCATGTTGCAAACACATAAAGCATGTTGCACTCAAATAAACCTTATTGTTTACAAATAAAACTTGTGTTACAAACTCTCCTCAAATATCACACACAAATAAAACTGTGTGATAACTGTCCTTATATTTTGCACGCACAAAAAAAAATTGTTTTACAAGCCGGACTCTAACGTTGCACTCAAAATATCATTTATAAATTTTCCCCGAGTACAAAATTATCTCTGCTCGCATACAAAACAGCCTCTCCTTGCGTACGAGACAATTCTTCACACTCCGCGGCAAGTTTCTGCCAAAAGTCATGTGATAAATGAAGAATTGTCATTCGGACAGCAGGAAGCACCATCCAATCAAAACAACTGAAAAGTGCCGGTGTCAAGATAGTGAAACATGCTTTATGTGTGTGTGCAACATGCTTTTTTGTATGCAATGTTTTGTCAAAAAATTCACTCCATATATTTCCCTGATTTAATCGTTGCATTATGTATTAAAAGAAACATTCTAAACAATTAGTAAACTAAACATATTTATTTAATACATCTGCTTCCAACTTAAATTATTACATAATCAATCATATAGTCATGGGTGGAGATCTATCTTAAATCCATTTGATCCCAGACAAAAATCTCAGCTGGCCTGATGAGAGCTGAAAGGAGGATAAAATCTAAAATCCAAATTATAGATCAGCTATTAGTCCACTTTATTTCCATGAAGCAATACAACTTAAAACACATTATTAGCCCAAGGTAAACCAAACTGTAAAACACCTGTAGGAAAGCAGCCCTGTCTGCAGCTAAAAGCTTTTCCCTATCCAACCTACCACACACCCTTTCTACTCAGCTGGCATCATTCATCCAGCAGTTGACTGTCGGGCATGGCTGGGTTTGTAAGGGAGGAGACGCTGTCAGCACAGATCAGGCAGCCAACACTCTGTCAGCTAACATGGTCATTGTTTCAGCCCAGTTCCCTCACAAAGCCAGGATTTAGAGATGGGGGAGGCCTGGGACCTGAAACAAGGGCTGGGTCAGACGATAGAAAGAGGGAGTCAGGGTGAGGCAATGGGGGTAACAGAAGGGAGGAGTTATCTTCTGGACACCATATTAGTGGTAAAACATATCGTTTAGTTATTTGAAGATCTCAGTTAGACCACCCTGCAGCATCATTTTAGACACGAGTGTCTTAGTTTGGGAAGGAGGGATTAATAGAACCAACAAGGTGAGCTGTTGTGGGGGGTGCGGTTGGGGAGATGGTGGGTTGCCAGGGGATAGATGTGAGGTTTCACCAGATCACAACTATACCCTCGTCAGCACTTAAATGAGGCAGGAAATCAGAGCTGGCCGAATCCACACCTGTTAGCAACATTATATGGACACTTTCTGAGGTAACTCTACATTCAGGGACCAGTGGAAACTGGGCCCCATAGATGACCAAGAAAAACTGGACTTTTACAGCATTATGTGTATACCCTAAGTTTAATGATCTCAGGTGACCTCTGGTTTTAACTTCGGCCCTGAGGGATCCTTCATGCCACTGAACAGCCACACGCAGCACAGTTCCTTCGTACTGCTAAACAGCGTCATGCAAATTCAACCCCTGTCCTGTTCCAAGACAAGAGCTGATAATACCATCTTATATGTCCATGACGCATTTGCTGCAGATCTTGACTTAACTTCAAACATTAGTAAACCTTTTGAGAGCTGGTGGCAACTTCAGGAAACAAACAGACTCAGAGACCAAGTGGAGGTTGTATCTTTTTTTCTGAACAGGTGAATTAAATGTTTGCTAATGCTGAGAAAAGGTTAGAGGACCTGCTGGCCGGCTGGCAGTAGAGAATGGGAATAGATGAGTGTGAGTGCATAGCTTACTGATTGGGATTACTTTTATTTATCGCCTTCAAGATGTTCACACCTCTCTTATTTTAATAAGTAACATTCATTTTAGGTAAATGTGTCTGCCTTTGGTAAAAACAAATTTATTTTCAAAATTCCCAACTAGATTGTTATTCAGAAATAATAAAAAGAAAGGCCACTAGAGACTAAAAAAATAAGCAGATAATAAAACAAAAAGTGTTTTTATATATTAATAAAACCTGGAAAAACATACCTTTACTGCTCACTTTTCAAATATGTTACAACAAAACAACACATTTCTAGTTTGGAGCAAATTAATCATATGAATTGTAAATTCATCATACTTTGATGTTGTAATAAACAAGGAGCAGAAGTAGCAAGCTACCGAGGATCATAGATTAGTAATAGAGCAAGGTTTTAGTGAGTGTTTTAATTACATTCAGGGTAGGATGCCTGCAGTGAACACATGCTGATCAGTCCTGTCAGGTTAATGTTTACTATATCAGAACTTATTTGAGAAGTGTTTCCTTTTTGGACATTTACTATTTTTACAAAAAGTTTAAAACCGTCTCGCTTGAATAAAGGTTTACCATTTTTTATCAGTCTATAGATTCTATGCTTTAAAGCGCGCATAAAAAGACACTCATGGAAACACATCTAGTGTCTCTTTACAGGCTCCATGATGGTTCCTTCTTCTTGGAGGCTGTTAATATTCAGTTCAGTTTATTTATAAAACTTGACATAATATTTAAGTTCAGTCATGGTGTTTTATTTTTTATTTTTTGGTTTAGTTGCATAAAAACTGTTTGCTTCCCGCTGCAATTATATGTCTCTGCCTGCCTAAACATCCTTTTTCCTAATAATAATATTTTCCATGATTTAGACTTTGACAACTTTTATTGTCTTTTTGTATACACACTGTATACAAAGAATTCTATTTTTGACAATCCAAGTATGTTGACTTGCACATAGATCCCCTCTTGAATGTCTACCATTGTACCAAGGTCTCCTTTGTCGCTACGATGACTCCAAAAAATTTGAACTTTACTTTCAAATGTGCTAAAAATAGATGCCAAATCTGCACCTGCAATCCCCCAGCCATGATTTTGCCCTTTGGTCATAAATATACTGTCTGCATATTCATCAAGTCATAAACACAGAAAGGTTTGCATCTAGTTTTAAGATCAGTTTTCACACGTCTTAAAACAAGCAAAACTTTGGAAGGTCAGGCCTGTATAGTGCAAATGTTTTAGACTTTTTTGCAAAGTTATGAACTACAAACAAGCCAAGCTTCATACTGGCTTCAGCCTAACTCAAGATCGATGCATGGAGAAAATCATAGAATAGATTTTTTTACCTGAACATCTGCATGTGTGCTTTAAAGTACCAAGAGCAATGCAACGCATTACATGCAGAGATTTAAAGGTAAAGACCACCTTTGGAAAATCCAAGGTTTTGCTTGCTTTATCCATAATAATCACTTTAGGTGTGTTAGTCATTGTTTCCCCCTGCAATGTCCAACTCTGGCCAGGTTGCTGCCACCTGGCTGCTGATATGAGGAGAGGCTGAAGACTTTAATTTACTTTCTATTACTCTGTCCAGTTTGAGGAAGACTCCTCTACCATTGTCAGAGAACCAGGCCAAGAACATGAAGTGTCCATCAACATCCAATCATCATCCAACAGCTGATATACGAGAGGATTAAGAAATGCCAAAAGCTTCAAATTTGGGTTCCTTCTTTATTTATTCACCTTCTCTGTAAAAAGCATGAGGATCACACATCATGATGCTGCTACCACCGTACTCGACAGCTGTGGTGTAGATGTTTCCAATCTTTGACCAGACCATGGTGGAGAGGCACTTCCTGAACATACAGCACCAAAGGTATTTCTATTCTATTCTATTCTATTCTATTCTATTCTATTCTATTCTATTCTATTCTATTCTATTCTATTCTATTCTATTCTATTCTATTCTATTCTATTCTAAATTCAGTCTTTCTACATTAAAACGGATTGCTCATTATGTGAATCCACAGTCCCACATTTCCAATCTATGTACTATTTTCCTTTGATTGTTCCAATGTTCTAAATAATTATAAAAAAAAGTTCTCTGTTGCAATCCTAATTATTGCTTTCAAAGAAATACTGTAAGTTGCAGCCCATCATAATCAGCAACCCAAAGTGCATAGGTCCTTTTAAGTTATTAAAAGACGTGCAGGAACCTTCATTGTCTTATTATTTTATCATATAATGAGACATCTAGGGAATTTATGTGCATATTTTAGTCTATATAAAATGAGGTTGTTGTTGTATGATTAATCTACTGTGGAAAGCAACACAAATAATATGAAGTGGATGTTTCCTTGACTTCTGACCTTTGATGTGTAACAGTAAGGGACTGTAGGAAAATTGATTAAAGTTGCTTTATTTCAGGATTTACTTCTCGTCTTGGACAATTTTCTAGACATTTTCAGCTGGTGTTTGTTGGTTAAAGTCATTCTCTGGTACACCAGGTATATTAGATGGTTAAACAAATTTATCTTTTTTTTAAAAGCATGAAAAACAAATAGAAACATAAGCTTTGATGAGTAAATACAACAATATTACACAGTTTAATGAATAAAACCAAATCAAGCTGAAAGTATAATCGATGTGTAACATTTTGTTTCATTTCTCGTACTTCACATTAATTCAATCTGACCTGTACTGGAGGAGGGCGCCCAGGTGACTCTGAATATCCCACGCAGACACTCACACATGATCCGCAGCACGAGGCGTAAATGGAGGAAATGAAGCGACGGAACAGCCCACACACAGGCTGTGCAGCCGGGTGAGCTCTGCAGCAGAGCCGGGGGTGGCCAGTGGGTGTTGGAGGCGACTGGAGGGTCAGCTTGACTCTTTGGGTCAGAGGGACACTGAGTTACACTGTCAGCATGGATGCTGAATAGACAGACGATGAGAGGGAAAGAGGGGGGAGAGTACCAGGGTTGGATGGAAGGATGGATGAGATGCTTTTTAATAACTTTATCTACATATAAAAGAACAGTTAACTTAATTTTTCATTTTTTTGTGAAAGCTCCTGAGTGAAAGAACTCTTTCTGTTCAAATGTCTGCGTTTGTAAGTGTTTGCTGTTAGGAATAGACAAATACGAATCTATAAAGAGAGAGCAGGAGTGCATTAGCAGTACTGGACAGTCAGCAGTTTGAGGGGACGTTTGGTAAAGCCCAGCTCCATTGTCTGCTGGTACGGAGGGCTTTATCTGTAAACCAGTAGGGCCTTGTTTCTGGGCTTAGAGGGGCTGGACTCTGGATGTTGTTCAGACAAAATGACTGCAAACTCACCACAAGGACGGCAGCTAGACGGAGTAATCATTGGTGATAACTTGGATCTAAATTTCTATACAAACCCCAGAATTCAGCTGTTTTGGCATTGTCTTTTTTTTAATTAGATCGGAATAATTTTTTATATAGTAAGGGTTTAGTTTCAGGTTTTTTTTTTTTTATTGAATATTTGTACTTTTTCTGCAAAAAATTAAACATTTTCACCTCTCCTCAGGTCAAACATAGCATCCTTCAGCACAGAGAGGGACGTTTCTGTATCATTCAGCTTATCAAAATGTTTGATAAGCTGTTTGAAAAACGTTATCATGAAGTGAGACTAATTCGATTTAGAAATAAGTGGAATTTTATTTAAGTGTATGAGCCAATTTCTTTATATTTTGATACCTGAGCTATTTAAGGAGCTCACAAATCATATTCCATTTATCTCCCTTCCTGACAGGAACAGCATCTCGGACATGGAAGGACAAACCTGGGGAGAGAGACTTTTTCATATGTGGTCATCTAATGACATGTTATTGAGAGCTGGTTTCTCTCCTCAGCCAACCAGGTGCACCATGTATAGCTCCTTCATCTAGACCTTATTGGGTTGTATTAATAATTGCCGATGTGTTTTTAATGATTCAAGCTCCACACAGCTGCCCTCCGTCTGACCTCGCTCTCAGCATGCAACCTGTTGTGTTTCTATTAACTATCTGACAGCTTGAGGTGTGTTTGAAACCCCGGCTGTCAGACCAAAATGCATTTTCCCCGCTAACACCTTCCCATGTCTCGTCCAGCTAGAGCTGAATATTGCAGTTTCCTATGATACACAGGAAAGACTGCGCCTCAGCTGAACTTGATGCTTGTTTTGAGGATTCCGCTGTTGACCTGTAGTGTTGCAATGTTGGAAAATGGCTGCTGTTCTTCTGCTCACCAACCCATACAGGTGTTCTATCCAATGGCCAATTAGTAAACAACAATCTGTCCGTTAGCTACAACGGGACATGCTGCTGAACTCGCTCTCAATTGCCTACTCCATTCACCAGGGATTTGTTTCGCAAAGTGAGGTTAACATTCTCTGAGCAGAGATTAAATATCTATGTAGACCTATTTGACTGTGTGGGTGTGTCCCAATTTCCCAATTTAAGGGTTGCATCTTCCGAAGGCTGTTATGTTATATTTTTTACTAGCTTCTTGTGTTTTCATTATTATAAGGTTTATATTATTACATGTTTATTTTTTGGTTTTTGTTTGTCTCATGTACTGATCAAACAAATTGCCCCTGTTGAGGTTAATAAAGTTATCTAAGTTATGCTGGGTCTACCAAGAAATATTGTCATTTCAAAAATGATCTTTCTGTTGGGAGCTGGAGAAGTTCCACCTTTCTCCAGCAGAGTCCGCCGTGGATCCTTCTGAGTGAACCTCCTGCACAGCTGCAGCCCATCAGATCATCAGAGGATCCACTATATAAGCTGTCTTCAGACCTTGCCTCAACGCCGCAGTGTTGATCCAGTTGGTCAGCGCCTAAGCCTAGTCTCTCTGTGAATCTTTTGTGACTTTGAATCCAGCCTGGATTCTAACCCTTGTCTCTGTCTTCCAGGAAACCAGTTTCTCCTCAGTGGAGCTCAGGAAGAGCTAACCTGCCGAGCCGACCCTCCGAGCCAAACCTGAAGAACCTCAGTGAACTTTCATGCAGCTCAGGACTAAGAGCTGGAAAACCCAAGGCCAAGGTCTACTCAGAACTAGATGTAAGACGCTGAAGCAGCTAGCGGACTCTGCTGGTAAACTCCTCTCTAGATCCAACAGTGACCCTCTCAAAGTTTCCTACAAGAACCCTCAAGGTACAATAAGTAACAATCAAGAAAGCAAGCTCCAGAGTGCGACGCTAACTGAACTGTCTCTCACGCAGACTCCGGTGAACCAGTCTCCAGGCCCGAACCAGAACCAGTCAATCAGTGTGCTTCTGCTTAAATAAACTTGTTAAACTTTTACTCCAGTGTCCGTCTAGTGGTGTTCTGCATATTTGGGTCAACCTTAGTGAACCCATCATGACAGAACACTGCGGCCAAACTCAAGGCCCAGCAGAACATCTCCGTCAACTATTGGAGGAGCGGGAAGCCCAAATCCACAGGCAGGTCCAAACTCTCAGTGAGTTAAACACCCCCATTGAATTTCAAGATCATGTTGTCCAAAACTTCACTAGCCGTTTGAACAACGCTAATGCTGCACCGGCACCTCAACCATTTCCGGGTCCTGTTCCCCCTCCGAGGTCACAGGTAGTGACGTCATCTGAGTTCCGCCCAAGACTTCCAGAAAGATTTTCTGGTAATATGAAAGATTGCAAAGGATTTTTGTTTCATTGTCGTTTAATCTTTCTGAACTCCCCTGACAGTTTTTCCAAGGATTATAAAAAGATAACATTTATTCTTTCTCAGTTAACTGGAAGAGCCTTGGAGTGGGCTCAGGCGAGATTTTATTCCGATGAAAGTCTAAATTGCCTTTATTGTGACTTCATTTCTGAATTCTCCCAGGTATTCAATCAAGAAACAGATCAAACTATTGACTCTCGAGCTCTTTTCAGCCTAAAGCAGGGAAATTCTTCTGTGGCTAAATTTTCCATCAACTTCCGGGTTAAAGCGGCAGCTTCCGGATGGAACCAAAACGCTCTGAAAGGGGCTTATTTTATGGCAATAAATGAGCATATAAAGGATAAGCTCGCAACTCTCGACGAACCAGCTACCCTCGAAGAATTGATTCGTTTGTCGATCAAATTGGATAATAGAATCCGCGCTAGAAACGGTTCCAAATCAAGAAGTCAGGGGACACTTTCCCCTGCCTCACATAACGTGACTGTTTGTCCTTCCCCCACAGAACAGTTGCCCATTCTGTCCTCTCATTCTGGTGAAAGAGATGTCGAACCCATGCAGGTGGGACACACCAGGCTCACCCCTGAGGAAAGACAAAGACGTTTTCTGAGTAAACTATGCCTTTACTGTGGTGAGAGTGGACACTTCATCGCTTCCTGCCCGGCTAAATCAAAAGCCAGGGCCCGCCAGAGGATCTGAGGAGTCTGGCGGGCCAAATTAACACTAAGAAATCTCCTCGACTGTTGCTTCCAGCCACATTGTTTTGTGCTAACCAAAGTCTCTCTTTTTCTGCATTCATCGATTCAGGCTGTGAACGAAACCTAATTGATTCGAACCTCGTTCAACAACTTCAGATTGAAACAGTCCCTCTGACTCAATCTCTCAGTGTTTCTGCTATTGACGGGAAAAGGCTCCACCAAGTTACCCATCAAACTCAGCCCCTCGAGCTACTTCTTTCAGGTAACCACCGAGAGACAATAACATTTTTTTGTTTTTCCTTCCGCGTGCTCTCCCTTGGTGCTTGGTTTTCGAATGGTTGGAGAAACATAATCCCCACATAAATTGGACTGATCGTCACCTGGAATCATGGTCTACTACATGCCATGAAACATGCCTCCGTTCGGCTGCCCCCTTGGTGGGGTCTCCTAGAGGTGGGGGGGAGATGGACTCTCCTGACCTTTCTTCTGTTCCCCCCGAGTACCATGACCTGGCTCCTGTCTTCAGTAAGGTCAGTGCTACGTCCCTACCTCCACATAGACCATATGACTGTGCCATTGAACTTCTACCTGGAGCTCCTCTACCTAGCAGCAGGTTGTACAACATCTCCAAACCCGAACGAGAAACCATGGAGAAGTACATAAATGAATCCTTAGCTGCTGGAATAATTCGCCCATCCTCCTCTCCATTGGGCGCCGGGTTCTTCTTTGTTGGTAAGAAAGACGGTTCCCTGAGACCTTGTATTGATTATCGAGGTTTGAACCAAATCACAATAAAGAATAAGTACCCACTTCCTCTTCTCGCCTCAGCATTCGAACCTGTACAAGGGGCTACAGTTTTCACTAAGCTTGACTTAAGGAATGCCTATCATCTTCTTAGGATTTGAGATGGAGATGAATGGAAAACAGCCTTCAAAACTCCCTTGGGTCAATTTGAATATCTAGTGATGCCTTTTGGTTTAACTAACTCCCCAGCCTGTTTCCAAGCCCTCGTGAACGATGTCCTCAGAGACTTCTTAAATGTGTTTGTGTTCGTCTATATAGACGACATACTCATTTACTCAAGGAACCTTTCTGAACATAAAAGACATGTCCGCCTTGTGTTACAGAGACTACTGGAGAACAAGCTGTTCGTTAAAGCAGAGAAGTGCGAATTTCACCAGTCTTCAGTCACCTTTTTGGGGTTTGTGCTCGAGGGCGGCCAGGTAAAACCATCTGAGGACAAAATAAAAGCCGTGTTAGAATGGCCAGTTCCAGAGAACCGAAAACAGTTACAGAGATTTCTGGGCTTTGTAAACTTTTATCGTCGGTTCATCAGGAACTATAGCCAGACTGCCCTTCCCTTAACTTCTCTGACTTCTGTCAAACGCACTTTTCAGTGGACTCCCGAGGCACAATCTGCATTTGAAAAATTGAAATCTCTATTTCCAGAGCCCCAGTGTTAATACAGCCTGACCCTGCTAAACAGTTTATCCTCGAGGTGGACGCTTCAAAAGATCCA